TAGGAATGGATTGGGGAGAGGCAGCAGGGGCCACACTCCATTTGAGAGAGCATGAGTGTAGGCTTCCTAGTCCGTCAGGCGAGGTTAAGACTGCCCCTTGGCACATTGTTGTCTCAGTGCTCTCGCATTCGCGCGGTTAGTGAAGAAGGAGCGATTAGAGGAACAAGTTTTTGTAGTTTATGTTAAACCTGTCACTGAAGCCAAGGAAGAAGATAGTTCCATAGATCCAACCATAGCCAAGCTGCTGGAGGAATTCAAAGACTTGACTGAGTCGCCGACAGGAGTAGTGTCGTGACCCATCCAGCACAGGATTGAGATAGAGCCTGGCAGTAGAACTCCTAAGGGAGCAGTCTATAGGATGTCCCCTAGAGAGTTAGAGGAGCTGCGCAAGCAGTTAGAGGAGCTGCGCAAGCAGTTAGACGAGCTCCTCGAGAAAGTTTGGATCAGGCCCAGTTCGTCTCCTTTTGGGGCACCAGTTTTGTTTGTCCCCAAGAACGAAGGAGAGCTTCATATGTGTATAGACTATAGGGGTTTGAATGCGATTACTGTAAAGAATGTTGAATCGCTGCCCAGGATAGACGATCTTTTAGATCGGGTGCAGGGTTGCAAGTACTTCTCTAAGATAGACTTGAAGTTCGGATACCATCAGATAAAAGTCCATCCTGATGATCAGTACAAGACTGCATTCCGGACTAGATACGGGCACTATGAGTTTATAGTGATGCCCTTTGGACTAACCAACGCGCCAGCCACCTTTCAGCGTTGTATGAATGACCTGTTTAGACCATGGTTAGACAAGTTTGTGGTAGTCTACTTAGATGATATCTTAGTTTTTAGTAAGACCCTCCAGGAGCACCAGGGTCATCTGAGGCAGGTCTTGGAGAAGCTACGAGAGGCTAACTTCAAGATCAATCCAAAGAAGTGCGGGTGGGCCAAGACACTGGTCTTGTACTTAGGCCATGTATTAGACGGAGATGGCGTTAAGCCAGAGGACAGTAAAATAGCGGCAATCAGAGATTGGCCGACGCCCCGCACATTGACAGAGTTGCGGTCGTTCCTAGGCCTAGCTAACTACTATAGAAAGTTCGTGAGGAACTTTTCCACTATCGCTGCTCCCCTGCGCAGGTTGCTTAAGAAAGAGGCAATCTGGCAATGGGACAAAGATTGTACGTCTGCGCTAAAGAGACTGAAGCGCGCGTTAATAGAGTACCCTGTCCTCAAAGTAGTAGATCCGTCCTTGCCATTTGTCGTCACCACGGATGCAAGTCAGTATGGAATAGGCGGCGTGTTGCAGCAGGATGACGGCAATGGCTATAGACCCGTAGAGTTCATGTCCGCAAGGATGCCCTCAGAGAAGGTAGCCACCTCGACGTACGAGAGAGAACTCTACGCTCTCAGGCAGGCCCTAGAGCACTGGAAGCATTACCTGCTTGGGAGGCACTTCAAAGTGTATTCTGACCACGAGACCCTTAGATGGTTAAAGACTCAGGCCAAGATGACACCTAAGTTGACTAGGTGGGCCGCAGAGATAGACCAATATGACTTTGAGCTTAAACTAGTGAAGGGCAAGTACAACGTAGTTGCGGACGCTCTGAGTAGGAGATCAGACTACTTTGGAGCCATAGTACACTATCTGGATATAGGGAGAGACCTGCAAGAGAAAGTAAAGCAAGCTTATGCGCAGGACCCTATTTATAGCGACCTCCTAAAGAGAGTTAGAGAGGCCCCAGAGACTGAGCCAGATTACCGCACTACAGACGGGTTGTTGTTTGAGAAGACTAACGTATTTGACCGCCTGTGCGTTCCCAACAGCGAAGAGATCCGCACTTTGATCCTAGGGGAATGCCACGATCATGAGGGACATTTCGGTTGGCAAAAGACATTAGCTAATCTAATGCTCGCGTACACTTGGCCAGGAATGAAGAATGACTGCATAGAGTATGTCCGCAGTTGTAAAGTATGCCAGCATAATAAGACTACTACGCGTGCACCCCTTGGTCTTCTCAGACCCTTGCCTATTCTGGATCAGCCGGGAGACTCAGTGTCCAAAGACTTCATGGACACCCAAGTCAAGAGCAGACATGGTAAAAGCCAAGTCATGGTCATAGTTGACCGATTTAGTAAGTATGCAGTTTTTGTTCCTTTGCCTGCAGAGGCACGTACAAACTTAGTTATACGGAAGTTCTTTGATTTTTGGGTTGGTGAGAATGGAATCCCATTGTCCATAGTTAGCGATATAGATAGTCGTTTCACCAGCCAGAACTGGCAAGAACTCATGAGAGTCTACGGATCTAAGCTGTTGATGTCGTCTGGCCACCATCCAGAGACTAACGGTCAGACCGAACAGATGAACAAGATCCTCCAGCAGGTTTTGCGCATGTACATTAGACCTGACCAGATCGACTGGGATGAGATGTTGCCCAAGGTAGCTAGCGCATACAACAAAAGCGTGCATCTGTCCACCTGTCGCACTCCCAATGAGCTACACAAGTCCTTCAGACCGCGCAAAACATTTGAAGGACTGAACCGGGATCAGATTCACAGGCTACCGCCCGGTACCAGGGAGTTTGCGATACAGCACGGGAAAGAGCTAGCAACAGTTGTAGAGAATCTCAGGAAGGCCCAGCATAGAATGATAGAACAAGCTAATAAACACCGTCGCCCGTCACAGTTTCAGGTAGGCGACTTAGTCTGGGTCAAGGCTAAACAGTTTGCACCTGAGGAAAACATCTCGTAGAGACTACTGCCTGCATATAGAGGACCGTGGCCGGTTCTAGAAGTCAAGGGCGGAGAGGATGGACCGTCCTACACTATAGAGATTCCAGCACACCTCCACACATACCCTGTGTTTCATGCTTCAAAGCTGCGGCCGTGTGTCACAAGTCAACAGTTCCCTTCAAGAAGATCCATGATCCCCCCGGATATGGATGGAAGCTATGACATTGACGACATTGTAGACGAAGATGTCTTCAGAACAGGAGGTAGAGGTCGTCCACAGAAACAGTATAAGGTCCAGTTTGCGTATTAGGAACCGGAAGACGACCGCTAGTTCACAAGAACAGAACTTGTAGAAACAGCTCCCGACATAGTCAGAGCCTATGAGCTCGATAGGAAGGGTAAAGGTCCTGCCTTGGACTGAAACATTCTCGGAGGACCTCGAATTTAGGACGGCGGGAGTGAAACGGTTTTCACCTTTTAGCAGTAGCAGATGCAGTACCCAAGGTTTGATCCCTAGACCTCGTCCTACCCATGTACAGTATCTGTGTAACCCCCGAGAGTTGAACCTGTGACCTGTGTATTCGTAGACAGTTGGTAGGTCTGTCATAGGTCCGTAGGTAGCAGGGGTTCGATCTGTAGATCTTTAGAGTAGAAGTCTTAGCGAGTTCCAAAAGCCTAGCTGTAGTCCTTCTAGAAGGTAGGCAAGTGGGCAAGTGGTCAAGTGGCGAGGCAAGTGGTGGACTAAACTGCAGTGCAATTGCAGTACGACGACGGTAGGGCAGCAGTGAGTCCACAGTCAGTCAACGGTAAGGTCCAGTCAGTCCCAGTCCGGTCCAGCAAGTACCACGGGGGACTGTGAGCACCATGGGTCGATGGCAAAGGGCAGACCAACAAGTTTCCGAAGTATAAATCAAGAGGCAGCGCCCAGCCTTTCATTCATTCCTACGTGAGCCATGAGGAAGCGCTTTCACAACGACTTGTGCAAGGAGGTCTGCAGTGAGCCCGGAGGACGCAGTGGGCGAGAGAGAAGGAGCTTAGTATAGCGATAGGGTAGAGGCAGCCATAACTGCCATAGCTGTAGTTTAGTGTGAAGTGTGTGTGTGTGTATGTGTGAGTGTTCAAAGTGACGCGTGTGGGATATCCAGGGTGATCCGGTGTGTGTGGACAGTGAGTGGTTTGGGCGCTGAGTCGCCATAGCCAATTGAAAGTGAACTCTTATCTGGAAGCCGTATCTCTGAGTTTTGAGTGGGCGCATGTCGCCAGTTTGCTGCGCTGCTGTTTACATGCATGAAAAGTGTGAATGAGAACGAGTCTGATTGCAGCTACGCGGGGGCAACTCACCATTACCTTTGCTTGCCTGTGTGGTCTACTGAAGGCTAGGGATAAGCACCATTTAGTACCTGGAAGTTGTGGGTCACTTTCGCAGTGCTATACAGGTCAGCCTCCCATTGGGAGAAGTTTTTTTAACTTTTTTTTTTTTTTTTTTTCAACCAAACGACTCCGGGATTAGCTTGAGGCGCTGGTAGGAGCAAACACATCAAGCTTCCTCGGAGGAGGCTCCATCGATTGGTGGGGAGCTCCATCTGCTGAGAAACGTGCCCAGCGTCCCTTTATATAATTGTACAATGTATATTGAAAAACAGGGACCAATTGAAGCATGCGGAGGGAATCACCCTGAGACTGAGTTCCTCCTTCAAATTCTTACGGAGATCATAGGAACCCACAAGGCAAGTCATGTACTCAGGATGGCGAGACAAAGCATCCGCAACGCGATTGTAACAACCTTTCTTGTGCTTCAAAATCATACACATCAATCTCATGCAGCCAACGGGTCAATGTGGTTGACGGATTAATTTGTGTCTGAATCCATTTCAAAGTCTCATGATCTGATAACACTTTGAAATGACGACCCAAGAGGTAGTGTTTCCAATGATCTAGTGCCTCTCTCAAGGCATAGAGTTCTCGCATGTAAGTGAAAGCAGCTACCTTGTGACTGGGCATGCGTTTGCTGTAATATTCAAGCGGACGTAAGCCATCGCCGTCATCTTGCTGCAGCACTGCACCAATCCCATACAAGCTTGCATCCGTAGTTACTACGAATGTAAGTTTGGGATCTGCAATGCGGAGCACCGGCTGACTCACCAAAGCCTCCTTCAACGCTTGGAAGGTTGTTGTGCATTCCCCATCCCATGTGTAAGACACATTCTTACTTGTCAACTTGGACAGCGGACGGGCGATGATAGAGAATTCAGGTACAAACTTACGGTAGTATGACGCAAGACCAAGAAAAAAACGCAACTCGCAGACATTGGTCGGTTGAGGCCAGTTGCGGATGACCTCAACTTTGGTTGCCTCGGGCTCTAGGCCGGCAACAGACAACCGATGTCCAAGGTAGATGACGCTGTCCCTCCCAAACTCAGATTTCTCCAAGTTGAGGTGGAGTTGCGCGTCCTTGAGGATCTGTAACACTTCCTCAAGGTGTCTCATGTGCTCCTCCATCGACTTGCTAAAGATTAGTATGCCATCCAGATAAACAACAACAAATCGATTGATCTGATTGCGGAACACCCTGTCCATGAGACTTTGAAAGGTGGCTGGTGCATTCGTGAGGCCAAAGGGCATGACAGTAAACTCGTATAACCCATCGCGAGTTTTGAATGCAGTTTTATGCTGGTCTGCAGGGTCGACTTCAATCTGGTGGTAGCCAGACTTGAGATTGATCTTGCTGAAGACCTTGCACCCACCTGCAGCATCAAGCAGATCATCAATACGTGGCAAAAGATATGCATTCTTTCTTGTTATTCTATTCAGTCCGCAGTAATCGATACACATCCGTAGTTTGCCTCCTTTCTTAGGGACAAACAAAACCGGTGCACCGAATTCGGATTCGCTTGGCTTGATCCATCCTTTCTCAATCATGTCATCAATCTGTCTTCGCAACTCTTCCAATCCGCCTGAGCCCATTTGATAAACACAGCCTTTTGGAGGAGTGTTGCCTTCTATTAACTCGATCTTGTGTCGGACTGGACGCACGGGAACTCCATGCGGTTCGGCCAAGATTTCAGAAAATCGGTTGAGAAGGCTGCAAATTTATGATGGGATCTCCGGAGGTTGATCATCACATTTAGGTGCAAGCATACCGGATTGCATCGGTGCAACCAAAACAACAGGATTTGAAGCAGGGTCGTTTGGATTAGAAGTAAATTTCGTAGCGGTAGAAGTAATTGCCTCAGAAGTAGAAACAACATGCAAAGTAGAATCATTATGTACAGCAAAAATAAAAGGCATATGAGCAGGCCTAACAAAGGCTATATACATTTGCTCATCAACTTTGCGCCTGCGCCACTTTTTGCAAAATTGCATTGCATTGAGAAAAGTTACTTGGGACTCGTGCGGCTCATCCAAGAGGACTGGACGCTCGATCCCCATGGCATCTTTGACCATGAACTGTGAGTCCTTCCACATGGTTCTTTCACATTGGGGCTGCAACCAGCCCAAGCCAATAACCACGTCGAAGGGGCACTGATCAAGGACATAGAAGTTTAATTCATGCGTGATTGTGCGGTCTGCGTCAAAGGTAGTGTGCACACCTTTGACTGCATGCGTAGATTTGACAACCTCTCGATTGCCTACTTGGGTCCGACAAGGATTCTTCAAAATCACTTGCTTCATCCTCAAGCGTGCCTTACGAATGTCGTGCGGTGAGAAGTAGTTGGCGGTTGCGCCACAATCAGCCAACGCACGGATGTAACGACCGTTAATGCGGAGTTTGAAGAAGATTAACTTTGTTTTCCCTTGCGTGCGTTCTTGCTTCATGTGAGCCCAACGCGACAAGAGAGCATGAAAGTCGATTTTTGCCTACTCCACCCAAGGCTCCTTGTATAGGATGTGTATTTTCTCAGCCTTGGAATCAGCATCAGATGGGGTCTAAGGAGAGGTTTGCTGAGTGGGATCAGAATCCGGTGAAGGATCTGCACTTACATGTTCAGCCTCTCCGTCTGTAGAGTGTGCTAATGATGTCTCTACCCCCGTTGCTGGTTTCCCTGTTGCAACCTGAAGCAATATTGGGCTGAATGTCCCGGTTTGGTGCAATGCAGGCAAACCCCTCTCTTCACCCTGTTCTTCCACTCACTTTCACTGGCCCGGAGATCTACCCATGGTTTGGTGCCAGGATCTTCCGGTTTGGGTGGAATTTTCGCTCCCTTGGGAAGAAGAATAGTGTTAGTATTGTTCTTCATCGTGGTTCTCGGCCCCTTACTTGTGAAGGCAGTCTTTTTGAAGGCATTCATAGATTCTTCGCCATTCACATACTCATACTCATGGGCTGACAAAGAGCAAGATACCCCGCAGTCTTGCTCTTGATCGTCATCAAGAGAAGAATCCTCCACGAGGGTCTCCTCGTTAACCTCAAGTAGATCGTGTGCTGCAAAACAGTTGCTGCCTGGAAACCGTTTGCGGTCGGTGGTCTTTTTGCCACCCGATCCACCCGGGAGGTCTTGTGCCTCCAATTTGACTAAATCCCGCATGAGGGTAAGCCAATCTGTGTACGCTACGAGTCTGAGCCCCAGGCGATGCGTTATAGTTGAGGGGACCGTACCTTTTATCACATCCAAGCAAGACTGCGCAGTCATTTCCAGATCCGGAGTGGCAAAGAGTTTACTGACATACTGTTGCAGGCTATGCATGGTGCCGGTCCACTTGTTGTGCTTGAGCTTGTCAAGCTTAAGTCTAGCTTTGGCTGCAGCATGTGGATCAGCATACTGTTTAATCAAGAGTTCTTCGAGTGTGGCTACAGGCGTAGCCTTCAACCATTTGTTCAAGTTTATTTTTTTGTAGCCAAACTGTACAGCTTGGATTTCCAAGAAACCCCTTACGACGGGTTCCACATTGGTCCGTAGGACCGACGACTGAGTAACTGGGAGTGTCCCCAGCACATCAAAGTAGGATCGCATAGAGCTGATCCATAATTTGATGTCGTCCTTTCTGTCATACTTAGATGGAATTTGTGCCGCCTTTCTATCCATGTAAGGAAAGCTGCAGCTAGGATCCGCGGTTGCTGGGTCCGGATTCGGGGCTGCAACAGTTCCAAAATGCCCTGCACTGCCACTTGCTGCTGCAGCAGCAGCAAGAGCAACAACGGGGTCTGGACCTGCTGCAGATCCGGTTAGGCTGTTGGCCACACTCAAAGAAGAAGAACAAGAAGAGGAAGATACAGTTAGAGGGGCAAGAACGGACTGACACGCAGCACTAGAAGCAGGGTAAGCAGGCGGAAGGATACTTTGGGTTGGCTGCACGTTAGCGAACTGTTGCAGCTGGTCACGGTGTTGCTGCGCCATCAGGGCCATGTCCTCGCGCAACTTCTTGAGTTCGTCGAACACTTTGGCGAGTTGGCCAGCATGGTCCTCAACAGCCCGGACGTCTATTAAAGCCCGGAGGAGTGGGACGGTTTTCTCTCCCAACTCCTCATCAGTTAGGGCAGGCACGGTACAGAAAACAGCTTCATGAGCCTTTACCTTACCCTCCCTCTCCTTCTCCTTCTCTTCCTCTTCCCTCTTCAATGCTTTTTCATAAAAGAATAGGTACTGCACTTTTTTTGCCTCTAGGGCAGCGTCCATTTGCAGCTTCCAATATGCTACAGATGCCATGATGGAGGACGAGGGAATCAGTAAGTCTCTTAAGAGAGGTCCGTACTTCCTCACTTTTCTGGGACGAACACTCCTCTTCCCTCTCCTCACTCCCTCAAGAGCAACACTCAGAAGTTTCTCTCTTCTCTCTCTCTCTCTCTCCTTCGCGATCGTGTAGACGCAGACATTTATCGAACCAAATGAAAGAAACAGCTTGAAACAGTCAGAAGAGAAGGTAGAACTCCTAGCCAGAGCGGCAATTCATTTGGACTGGAGAGCAGTCAAAACAACAAAAGAAATAAAGATTAGAGAGATCTGATCCAGCCACACAGTCTGGACCGACTACGTATGAGGTCCTCTCAAGCCTAGCCGGACCCAGCTCTGTGAAGACACAACAAATCAGATTCAAAGCGTACTACGTAAATGCAAGAAAGAATTGAGTGGTGCTCAAGGTGCAAGTCAGACGGCGGATCGTGCGGTAAAGTCCGATAAAACGTCTCAGCGGAGATCCCCTCCGCAGCGAGTGTCCTGGTCCGAAAGCATAAAGTCCGTGTCCCAATCAGATAGAGCAAGGTAACTGACGTCAACAGATTTGGCCTGAGGGGCCCTTCTTGTTTGGGCCTGGTCCCACTGAGTCCCAAACGGTCCCAGTGGAGTCAGAACCGGGTCCCAACCAACAAGAGGTCCACAGAGACCTACTCATTAAGTCCCACCTTGTGTCTCGCCACCACAAACATGCACTCAAGCAACCTGGCCGGGTCTAGTGTCGACCCTACACGGCCCTCCCAGGTGGGAGCAACTTCCCTTCACCACGCTGCCCCACTTAACCCTAACTTCCAGCCGTAACCCTAAGTGGGTAGCCCTTACCACTAGGGTTAGGGTTATGGCAGCAAAGTCAACTCTCGCCAGCAAGTAGAATCCGCTCTGATACCAATGTTACGATCCTGGCCAATTTCGAAGTGTGCATTCATCAGAAAGTACAATGTCGTCCAATTGCAAAAAGAAATGAATGAGCTTGAGAGGAGAGAGAGGGAAAGAAGAAGAAGAAGAAGTAAGAAAGAAGAAGAAGATGATGTACTCCAGCATAGACAAATGACAAGGCTCTTCTTCTTCGCCAACCAATCTCCTCCTCCTTATCTCCTCCCCTCTTATTCAAACAAGAAATAACAATAATAATGTTGAATGGCTGAACCAGAATCAATGTCCGAATCCCACTTCTACTGCAGGCACAACATGAGGTCCACCATAGCCATGGCCACCCTTCTCCGTCCTCGTCATTGCAGGCCGAGGCTATGGCGGACTACTGAGGCTTCAGCCTCCTGTCCAAAGGACAACCCAAAGCAGCTATGTTGCTGCCGCTCAAGCAGCTATGCCGCTGCTCACTGAACCGCCATGCCTGACTCTACCCCGAGCTTCCTTGGTGCGGCACTACCCCAACGGGGGCCTTCCAGATGCAGCGCCTAACAAGGTGATGAAGATGATGTCCACCATAGCCAGGTAGGCACCTCGCCACTCTCCCCCTTGGTCCCCTTCTCCCTCCTCCTCCTACCGGTAGAGCTCCACCATAGCCAAGGTGGAAGCTCCCGGCTTCTTCCTCCCAGCAGCGCTGTAGTACCCAGCGCCACTCCAGCCAGCGCTCCAGCAGCGTGTCGCCAAACTTGCACACTGAAGAATGAGGCCGAGCTCTTGCCTCGGCCTCTTGATATAGCGGCCTGCTGGCCTCCTGGGAGGTGACTTCCAGGCCGCTCGGCCTCCCAAGCAACAGGTACCTCCTCCCTTTCGGAGGGAAACATCATTGCAGACTCTGATATTGCCCGTACAGGCTCTAGACTCAGACTGGATGGACTGGTACCGGCCTAGCCCTAGCCTACCGCTACTGGGCCTCTAAAAATGCCAACTTTGTCTTCTTCTGCTCAGCCTCAAGTACCCGGCACATCTACTGCTACTGGGTGAGGTACCGGCCTACCTGCTACTTGAGTGTTTTTCCGCTGCTCAATGCCACGGCCACAGGTAAGTACCGGCCCTACAGGCCTACCAAACAAGCAAGTAACCTTGCGGGTCACACACACACTCATGCCAACAAGCACTCAGACAGGCACGCAAGTCAACAGGCACGCCCACATACAGACTTAGAAAACACAGCAGAATGCGGGAATCTCAGCAAGGCATCCATTCCATCGACAGAACTTCAGAAGTCAGCAGTGTTCTCAGTCTGTATTATGGCGGGTCATTACAAACTTGAAATTGAGGTATGGAAGTGTTCATCAGCTTCAAGTAGCTTAAAAGGTAGTGACTGGGGTGTTTCACTATCTGTACAACACATTTGCAATTTTGCATCATTAATGTTCTCCTGAGGAGGCTGAGCTGTTGGTGTGGGGAATGTTTGCCAGGAATTAGGGAGGGAATGTTTGCCAGGAAATAGGGATGTGTTCTCTCTGCTCAGATTGCAAGCATCTCTTTTGTACTTTATAGCAGTTCTGTCACTAAGCTAAGAGCAACTTCACTTCATTCACACAATCTTGCCGAAGAGTCAAGCTAATGATTTGATTACGATCAACGAGCATTCATGGAAGGTGCCTTTCAGTGGTGTTATGAGCATTACTCCCGTGTTTCAGCATTGCTGGTGATGTTCATTGAGCTTGCCTTTCTTGAACTCCTGTGACAGCTAATGTTTGTCTTGTATGATCTGTGCCTTCTCTGGTCTCTTCATCCGAGTTGATTGTAAGTAATTTTTCAATGGCAGCGAGGATAGTGTATCAGTCTCTCAGTTCGCGCAACACATTTCGACGCTGTTACCACATTCAGTGTGTGGATTTCAGTTTGACAAAGCACTTCTTTGTTCTCATGTCCTTGCTTTGGGGGCAGGTGTTACATGGGTGGCCATGTGGAGGACAGCCGGGCCGAAATTTGATTGCTAATTCCGAAACTAGTTCACGGCCACCATAGCTCTTGGGCCTCAGTCTGATCATCAATGCATAGAATGGATCTCCATCTGGACAGAATTTTAAGTAAGAGTTCAGAATCCGTGACTGAGGAGATTAACTATGTAGTGTAGTGCCAGCAATGCAAGCAGCGAATGTCAACTCCTGATATACTTGCTTTACATCCAATCCCACTCTGGGTACTCTTGTGATAACATCGCGCAGAGTCGTAAGACACGGACAATAATTGTGTGTGTGGTCATAATCACCACCTTCTCCTTCTCCTCCTTCTCCTCCTCCTCCTGCTGCTGCTGCTGCTGGTCCTTCACATTTTTGTCGGGTTGTTTGAAAAATGATGGGAGTCTGACGGAAAGGCGTATTGCTTGCAGTCGCGAAAAAATTCAAAGGCAAGGAAATGGGGGAGATTCGAGGAGGAGGTTGTTCAAGAAGTTGGCCCACTATGCAAGGCAGGTGATGAATAAGATGATGATGATGATGATGATGATGATGATGATGACTATATCAATGATGCAAGAAGAATGCAACACAATGCAACAGCGCTCATTATTATTTTCGCATCAGCAACAAATATGCATGACGAGTGCTGCGAAAATTGACACGGATAGGCTGCCGTCTGCATGTATTCACTCTGACAAAGGTGGCAGTGGGAAATAACCAGGAAGCTCCTACAAGTAAGGTGAATCCTTGTCACACTATGCATATAGACTTTCCTTATTGCTTGTCATAAAAGAAAAAAGGAAAATGAGAAAAACTAATTGCGAGTAATTTAATTTGCTTACTGAACTACATCATCATGCCTTTTTCACTTCCATCTTTTTTTTCCTAGGAAGATTCTCACACCCAGCCGGTCCTGCCCGGCTGGGCACCTGGCACTATGCACTCTATACATTGGTATGAAGTTTGCTTGAAATGGCCTTATGATTTTCTTATAAATTGAGGTGAAAAGTGGGGGGTCGGTTAACCATCTCTCGCACCCGGGCGTGAATCCCGGGGGGTCTGACCGGGTGTGGGGGAAAAAAAAAAAGAGAGTTTATTTTTTGGTTTTCTGCACTCTCCAAGATGACCCCAAATCCGGGCTCGTTTCTTTTTGTGTGAGTTGGTGTCAAGGGGGGGGGAGGGGGTATGAAAAATACTATAAATTGGTTTTCCAGGGGCTAAAGAGGTTTAAAGGGGGGTACCTTAGTGTGATTCTGTTATTTTCTTTCTCATCTCCGATTCTATGACGAATTCTTTTTTTATTTTTATTTTTTTTTTAAAGAAAAAGTTCTCTCTCCCTTCAATATATGCTGGGAAACGGGCCCAGCGTCCCTTACATCATTGGCCACGGTCGTCGGGATGAGCAAGGCACACCGGCCAAGCAGATCCCTCACCACAGCATCAATCATCATAAAACCCTGAAAACAGCGAAATCCCGATCCCAATGTCCCAATCCCAAGAATCCACAGTCGCTTAATTACTCAACAACCCTAATTTGATTCCACAATTATCAACCACCCTAGTTAGATCCCATAACCCAGCCCCCTGTAACCTATAACTGTGAGCTTAACAATCACAATTAACGAATAGAAAAACCAAGCCTACAACTAAAACTAACAATCCTAAGCAACGTGAGCAGAAACCAAACCTACAAGCAAATCATCATTGCCGTAGTTTGCAGGAGCATCACCGCCGTTTGCAAGTGAGTTGATCAAAGCACCCAGCAACACAAGCAGCACAACACTCTCCATGTCACGACCCCTGCAAATAACAAGGGCCGAGCAGCCCAATCAACTTCTTCAAACAAGGTTGATTTCCTCCTCCAAAACGGCTCCAAACAAGGTTTTGTATCTGTAACCAGAGGACGAAGCCCCTGATCAGGTTCCATATTCTGGTATATACATCGAGCAGATCCTGCCCTTTGACCACCGCACATCTTCCTCCATCCCACCACGGTCATCCAGGGTAATACCGACAAGAGTCGGCCAGGACGAGGATATCGCGGAGGCTTGGTAGCGCCTCCTTGAAACGGTTTCCCCCTTGGGGCCCGTGCGCCCTAGCCTTTCCTCGGCTCACGCCACCGCCACAACAAGCTCTGGCACAGCGCACCCACGCCCGTAGTTGCGCCCACGCGATCCCGTTGCCTACGCGCCGTCAGGGGTGTTGCACCTGCTGCGCTAGCGCACCATCCCGCCATAGGCTTGATTATGTGAGGAATTCTAATGTGACCCTTAGCCAAAAGTCCTTTGTATTGCGATTCTAGTATCATTCTACACAACATATTTTGTCCCCATAATTTTTTGAATTGTTTTTTTTGTGAGCTGGGGCTGCCCGGGGGTCATGCCCGGCTGGGCGCGCGGGCGTGTACCCGGGCAAAAGTTGGGTGCCCGGGCGCCCGGAAAAACAGCCTAGTTTTTTTTTCCCTTTTTTTGGGGGTGCTTCCTCACTTCTACGCACTCATAGTCTCCAGTGCACTGGGGTTCCCATGTTTTCTTTTGGTACTTTGTATTGGTTCAGTTGGATGCTCAGGTGACTTCACCAATGTTGTCGTGAGGCGCCAGGCACCACGTCACTTTGCCGCCATCTGGTTTGGTTCTCTGTTCCCTACATCACAACTTGGCAGTTCTGCTGACCCAACCAAATTTCGCTCCAGACTGGTACCTTTCAGACGTAGTGTCTCGCCCATGACAGCTCACCATGCACATAATTGGTGACAGATGTGTTCCCATTCATCCCTGCAGTTCGCCTGGTTGCATCGTCGTAGGTGGTAGGCTAGAATAGGTGGCGCTGGTTTGTGGTTGGGCGCCAGCTGCCATTGAGAAGAGGGACATTTGAAATGATTGGATACATTGTTGATGTTGGGAACAAGAAGGGCTGACATTGGCATTTGAGTTCATTGCTTCGCTCTTATTTGGTGTATATGTTGTGCATTCTGCTTTCTGTGTGACACACGACTATCTGCTTTTCAATGTGATGATGCAATTTGGATTTCTGCCATTTCGCTCTCGCTCATTTTCCTTGCAATTGTTATAATTTACTGTTAATAAGAGGAGGAGATGATGTGAGGAAGATGATATTGGGCGAGAAGAGAGGGAGATGACATTGGGTCAAGCTTGTGTATTTCCTTGTCGACTTCTTTTTCTTTCCTTGTACACTATTTTCACCTGGAGTTGACGCAAAGTCGCTGGTGAGCACGAAAGGTTTGTTATACGGGATTGCTTGTTTGCAGGCAAGGGTGTTTTGAAATCCTGGTTGGTCTTGTCCCGTTGTTTGGCCTATGACGGAGGGAGCGGTGTTAGGAGCCTGGTTATTTGTTGTCAGAAGACCAACACTCACTCACATAGACTTCCAGGTATGCCCATACATACACAGAAGGAAGGGGAGAGGATGGGAGTATCACACTGCACTGGGAGATAGAAACACAGCGGAAGACTTGACCGTGCGATATGACAGAATACACTGAAAGTGCAATTCACTCCACAGAATCCTCACAACCAGTCACAAAGGAAAGCCGAGTAGATCACATCCAGAAAACAATGAAGCAAAGGTAGTTCGGACACAGTATGCACATTGTTTATTAAACTCTCAATTTGTCAGAATAACCCCAGAATTGTGATGCGCTGCTCAGAAATGAGCAGCGCTTCTTTCCCCAACTCTGAGTAAGTGCTATCACTACCCCTGAGCCCCTGAAACAACCAGAGCCACCCAGATACTGCCTCCAGAGGAAAGCGCCACCCTGAAACAGGCCTCTGAGGCCAAGCGCCTCTCAAAGGATAAAGAAGAAGACCAGCGCCACAGTCTCTGATGATGATGAAGTGCCAGAAGACTTCCCGAATGGAAATCTGTAGCAGCGCCACCTCTCCTGACAAAGATGATCTCTGAGGATGAAAGTTGCAGCTATGGCTGCAGCGCCACACACCCTGACACCCTAGTGCTGACGAGGGTTCAACAGGGCACCAACTTCTCTTGCCTCCAGCAGACTTCAGATAGCCCGGGCCTCTGAACAACTCCGTGTGCTGTCAGAGAACAGCGTAGGTCCCATCTATGGCCGACACTTCGAAGGTCCAGCTATGTCTGTCTCCCCCAACGCTGAAGTTGTACCACCACCAGTTCATCCGTTGCGCAGCCGCGACATACACGGTACCAACTGCCGAAAGCCCCGAACAGTTTTCCCTACACCTATTCATAGTGTACCCTAGCCTAGACACGACCTAGACCGGACTGACTGGATTCACCGGTACCGATTCAGTTCAGCCTCCAGGGCCTCTCCCTACCAGCTATAAGCTATAGGAGGCCCATAGGCCCTTCTGTCCTACTGGCAGCCTGGGTCTACTATTTGCAGTTAGGGTAGCTGTAGGAAATTCAGGTTAGTACGGGCCTGCAATTTTCCCAAATTTACAGATATGTCCCTCACGAATTTTCCCACAGGCAAATCTCTCGGTTAGCCCTCAGCCAAACAAAATGGCGAATCTATCCTATCTATGTTACAGCCTCGGGTCGACGGGTTGCAGGCTACAGAATCAGCAAGTCGTTGCAGACCTCCTAAAAATGGCCTGCGCTTATCCCTGGTCTGGCGCCTAAGTTTCAGGACAGGTCGACTTTAAGAGGGCCTAAAATTGGCCTCGTTTTTAGGCTTTTAGGCTGAAACGACACAGGGCCTGGAGGGCCCTCATTTATCCCTTGTTCCGCCTGGTCGGGCCCTGCAGGTCCGTGTGGTGGGCAGTATGCCACATCCTGGCTCCATGTCCATTCTGGGAAGCGCCAGTCCGGTTCCTATTCCCCCAGCAAGTCAACAGATTCAGGTACATCATATACACACTCACACATCCTTCCGTTTGGCCGAAGGATCCCTGACCAGCATTGATTGCTCCCCTGTGACAGGCGGATTGACTGTCAGCTTGCCCTTCTCATGTCTTCCTCTCAGTGCATGCAGTTGACTACACCCCAGGTGGCATTTTGTCACATATCGGTGAAACTATAAAGAAACGGTCTGCCACAGCCCCCCAGAGCTTGCCAGACATGAGTGATTATGAGGCTTCCCAGATACCAAATAATTGCAAGGAAGCATTGCTTAGTACCAATTGAATTCATCCAAGAACTTCCCAGGAAATGAAGTTATTAAACCTTTATAAAATTAAAGGGATTCAATTACAAGCAGAGGGATTGACTGGAAACCAACAAAGTGAGAACGGAAAAAGTATAAACAACAACAATGCACAAATTAATGAGGTCAATCATCTTTTTTCATGGAATCGAATGATCTCGGCCTTTGCCCGAGTCAATTCCATGCTTTCTGAATGCAAGCGATGCTGCTGCTAACTTGGTGGCAAGACGGAGCGGCCAACACTAACACTACTTCCGGAGGCTGCTCATATCACTCCCCTAGTAGACCTAGCCTAGCCTTTATTTATTAGAGAAAAAAAAAAAACTTAATGGCAACTCTCTTTGGACGTATCGCCGACGACGTGCAGATATAAAAGGAACTCTAAAGCTTCGGCACCCAGAGTAGAGCAGAGCTATCGAAACTTCAAAGAAGAAAGAAAAACTAATCAACTACTGAAGAATCCAATTTCAAATCTCCTTGAATGTGCATTCCCTTTGCTTTATCCTACAATGCTCCCTGCTACAACTCATACGTGCTTCAAATAAAAAATAAAAATAAAAAAAATACAGTGTATGTGTAATCTCGCAGTGCCCGCAACCACTTGCAGCCTTTCACTCAAAATTGATGTCTTGAGGGGCAGTACCGTCAGTACAGAAGTCCCAAAGTGCAGCAGCTGCATCCAGGGAAGCAGTGAGTCTCCTATCCTACCTACACGGGTTATCTTCATGATGTGCTCCTCCTTACCCACTCTCGATTGGCTCCATAGGCTCCAGCTAATCTCCCCTGGATTTGCCGAAGCTGAGCTGCACTGATCTTCCTCATAGCTCACCACCAAGGGTCCAAAGTGAAACTCCGGACAGATTCCATGAGCGCCCAGAGCTCCTCTTCCAAACAAAGTCTTCAATTAAAAAAGCAAAAAGAAAAAAGAAAAAAGAAAAAAGAAAAAAGAAAAAAGAAAAAAGAAAAACTTCAAAAAAGAAAAAAAACTCTCCTTGCAGGTATGCAACTGTGTGGGCTGTGGGAGGATGGATGCATAAGATAGCCGGATGGCAGCCACCAAACTAACAGACTCCATTCAGTATCCAAGGGCTGACTTCGCACCCACAAGAGAGAGGGAGAGCTGGAGCTTTGAGACAGGCGCAGGTGAGGGGTGGTTCACCGCGCGGTATGATGAGACCGGGCTCTCAGGTTGCGCATCCCAGAAGGGAAAAGTTATAAATCCCCCCTGCGACAAAACCTTTGTATTCACTCACCCCCAAACGGGCCAAAAGGTGAGGCAGGCCGCAACCTGGTTGGGCCGGTAAAACACCTTCCCGCCATTTTTGCACAGCAGGCATTGCCGGCCCAGCCAGGGTGCAAAAATGACACGAAAAGTCATTCTGGGGCCTGCCGCACTCTTTGCCCCGTTTGAGGGCGAAATGACTACAGAAGCTTTGGTCGCCGGGGGGATTTATAACTTTTCCCTCCCAAGAAGGTTCACAGACTGCATGAAGCACAATACGTTGAATCAGGACTATAATGAACCAGGGAGGGTCTTTCAGCTTGTAGATGTATGTGGGTTTTTTGAAATGGTATTTGAAATGGTAGTGCATGGAAGCACTGTGGTTTTCTGAGGCCTTAAGTCAATATGTGGCTGTACCAGATGAAAGGAGGTTTACCCTACCCTTAGTGTGTATGCCCTTTCCCGGAACAAGGTTGGCTTTTTTCTAATGGAATTTGGATTCATGGACTGGTTCCTGTTATGGTCCTCTTCATAAATTTTCCATTGCCATCAATCAGATGGAGGTGTTCACCCAAGTCTCTCTGGAACCAGATTATTCATACATTGTAGTCCCGTACACGGAGATGGCAGGACAGGAGGGAGCATTCATCCTCAGAACATTCAGGTAGGCAATAGGTACGTAGCATACATAGAAGCGCACACTCTGCACAAAAGTGTGCACGTACAGCTAGCGCACCCGCACGGTGCGGCGCAGGGGGGCAATTGGCTCGCAGGAAAAAAAAGGGGTCACAGACCCATGTGTGTGAGCGGGCTAGGTACCAGTAGGGGTCACTTGCTGATTCAAGCGAAGTGTGCGAGAATTGCCACGTCTGTATTGTGGTGTGTATCGAGTTGGACACTACAGCCTTTCAGGGGTGAGGTGGATATCACAACCGGTATGATTCCACTTTCGAACACCACGTCCCCGCTGTAATGGTTAAGAGACTTGGCACGTGAGGCCGATGTCGCTGGTTCGAATCCATGCGTGCACGGAGGAGGGCCTTGGGCCCAGATGTACGGATCTATAACTACTCGACCAGTGGTCACCTGCGCCCCCTTCAAAAATTTGTTGTGGGATTAAAAAAAAAAAAAAAGAAACGTATCAAGAGCACCTAACGGTCAAAAGTTCCTCAAAACTGATGTCCCAGACACCTATTTGAGGCTATTTCTCATGGTCAATCGGACAAAAAGAAAAATCTGTACGACTGTACTTGAAAAGGATTTGTTCCTTATGTGGTGCACTCCGGCGGTTGCAAATATGGTACGTACTACGCAGGTATGTTTACTGATCAGTACTGGGGGGCTCAGATCTCCTCCGGGTATGCTTGGATTCGAACCGGAGCCCAGCCAAGACTGTTCACCACTCCAGCCATGACATGGTGTACAAAAGTAAAACTGTATCTGCATCACATCCACCCCACCCCTGCATGGCTGTAGCGTCCTTACTCACTTGCACCACACACAACACCACTCAGGACTTACCTCCACTCACACACTTCGCTCTTCATCAGCACATGACCTGCTGCTGCAACATTGTGTGGTCACACAGCTGCAGCTCTTCCACATCGGTTCCCGGGAGTCTCACAGTGGTTTACCGATCAGTACTGGGGGCCTCAGACCTCCTCCATGCATGCACCATGCATGTAGGTATGCGTCTATGTGTATGTAGGTGTGTATGCATGTGTATGGTATGTATGTACGTATGTATGTGTCCACATACGTATGTAATATGTATGTACGTATGTATGTACGTATGTATGTATGTATGTATTGTATGTCATGTATGTATGTATGTATGTATGTACGTAAAACATATGCATGTATGTATGTATGCATGCATGCATGGATGCATGTACATTTTCATCTGTATGTATGTAGATATGCATGCGTGCATAAACTGGGAAAAAAAAAAAAAAAATACTAGTATGATWACTATRATAGTATATTTTCTWTTYTTTCYTTTKYTTTTWYTTTKYWTKTAAGAAAGTTATYWWTYTTTCKGGKTTTTTTTTTTTTTTTTTTTTTTTTTTTWYTTYWTTAWTTTYTYTKTTTYTTTTTTYTTTTTTTTWYTTYWTTAATTTCTYTGTCTCTTTTTTYTTTTTTTCAAGTTTGTTTGTTTTATTGTAATGACCTGACCAAACACGGACTGAGACGCACAGCTGAATGCCTTGCTGAGTCTCTAAGTCTGTGTGTGTGCATGCTTGCTGGTCTGCATGTCTGTCTGAGTGCTTGTCGGCTTGAGGGTGTGTTACCCGCAAGGGCACTTGTTCGTTCGGTGGGCCCCGAAGGGCCGGTACTTACCTGTGGCTGTGACATTGAGGATTGCAGCGGGGGAAAGCACTCAAGTGGCGGGGAAAGAGGCCCGCGACACTTGAAGCAGTGGAAAACACTCAAGTAGCAGGTAGGCCGGTACCACACCAGGTAGAGGTAGATGTGCCGGGTACTCGAGGCCGAGCAGACGAAGACAAAAGTTGGCATTTTTAGAGGCCCAGTAGTTGTAGGCTAGGTCTAGGCGGGTACCAGTCCAACCAGTCTTGAGTCTAGGGCCTGTACGGGCAATATGCTGCTGGTCCAGTTGATGTAGCTCAGTAGTTAGAGCGCAGGTTGGAAATGCGCATTCTGGTATGAGGTTGTGGGTTCAACACTCTGCAGCCTTGCATGGACACCGGCAGGGCGTTAGAATGATGCACGGCTGGACACACACTCCCCTGGGCCGACACATGGTACTATTACAGACACTGCCTGCGCACCAACGGGGGGTCAGTCCATGGGTGTTGTATGCTGGTCTAGACTTCACGTTGGTTGCTGGCTGTTGTTGGCTTTGGTCGCTCTGATGATCTCCCCCAGCCCAGACATTACACACATTATATCCACTTCCCACGGTAGTATATGTGGTAGAACCCTCCAGTTTCATACTGTAGGTCACAGGTTCGAGTCCGGTTCCAGACTTGGAGGGGGGGGGGGTCCTGTCCAGATAGGCCTGTCTCTACCACAT